GGGGGAAGGTAGGGAGAGGAGGGGAGGAACAACAGAAACTGTGACAGCGGTCAGTGTAAGATATGAAAAATAATAATTTATAAATTATCAAGGGTGAGGGAGGGAAGGGAAAAAATGAGGAGCTGATAACAAGGGCTCAAGTAAAAAGTAAACGTTTTGAGAATGATGATGGCAACAAATGTACAAATGTGCTTGGCACGATGGCTGGATGGCTGGATTGTGATAAGAGTATGGATTATTTACAAGGCCCAATAAAATGATTTTTTTAAAGGCCCCAATAAAATGATTTTTTAAAGAAAAGAGCGCGTGCATGCATACACACACACACATACACACACACAAAGTGGGGAAGGTCTGAGGACAAACCTCGTTGTTGAGCTGATCCTGACTCACAGCAGCCCAGGACGAGCTGGTTTGTTCTGCTGCAATAAAGCTCTCCATATCTTGTGCTGCAAAAAAAAAGATATGAAAATAATAATTTATAATTTATCAAGGAGCCACGAAAGGAGAGGGGAGGGAAAGGATCTGACACCAAGGGTTCAAAAGAAAATAAATGTCTAGAAAATAATGATGGTAACATATGTACAAATGTGCTTGATACAATTGATGTATGGATTGCTACAAGAGCTGTAAGAGCCCTGAATAAAATGTGTTGCTGTTGTTGTTGTTTTTAAAGATAAGTCATGGGAAATCTCAGAAATCATAGTTAAACTCAAAACCTTGGGTTTGCCATGAATCAGAATGTAACCAACAGCAATTAATTTTTGTTTGTTTGCTTGCTTAAGATATTTGTTTTTCTAGGAAATAATAATGGGTAGAATAAAATATATCTGGATCTCTGAACCATTTCAGTTTTGTATGTTAGAAGTCCAACTTGCACTTTATTATATCAGTAAAAGAAAAGATCAGAAAAAAACACCTTCATAGAGTATTTTTTATTTACCCAATTATCTTTCCTGGTTTTCTTTCTTTGTTAGTGTGAATTAGAATTAAGACATAATGAAATTTTCTTCAGCCTAAAGAGTATACATTATTTCTAGAAAAGTCGAATTTATGCTAATTTTTTGTTCTTTGTTATGCTAGCATAAATTATTTCCATTTGTCTTTTACGTAGGAATGCTTATCTTGTTCTTAGGTCTTCAAGTCTGCTCTGGTTTGTAGAGACCCTATTGTGGTAGTTAGGTAGATTTATGTCAATTTGCTGTATGAAGTGCAGGGGTGATAACCAACCTGTCAATCAGGTCACAACCTGATGGTGCCTCCTTGT